TGGCTATGGATTGGTGGGCTGGTAAACCATCCCTTGGAGGAGAAAAAGAATGTGTAAAACAAGAAATGGATGAACTAGACCAAAGATTTCCTATCTGTCGTTGATGAGCTCTTGCCAATATAAGGAGTTTGTAAATAGGTATGACAGACCCTCTGGCATGCAACCTTATTATGTTGACTGAGAAAAGAACCACTATCTCTGTCTGGATATGGTGTGTACTCTCCTCCCAAATCACCTGAGTTCAAATCCTAAGCATTTAGTTGGCAACTGTTAAGTCCTTCAACGAACTGCCTAACCTCTCTATGATGTAATTTTCTCATTACTAACCACATAGAATTGGTAAGAGGGACACAATTGATAAGACATATTGCATATTTAGTGTTGTCCCTGATCAGTGTGTGATATTTATGAGACATATACACCATGAGGATACAAGTACACTGCCTTTTCAACATTTCATATCCAATATTATTGGACCTTTGTTTTATAGAACATATAGAATAAGCCAGCATATTGGCCCTTTTGGTTTCTGATTTTGGAAGAAGCAGGCAATGAATAGGCTAAACTCTGACATTTCTCTTTCAGGCATATTACAGGACAATAAAGTTCTGGTTAAAAGCTTCTTACTCTGAATCCAACGTCAAGGACAGCTCACAGAACAGAAATCCCATCGTTTATGCATGGCTATTAGAGTTTTATGTCTCCATGCCACAAAGTGAAATACAGATCAAGTCTCCCGGGAACCGGCAACAGGTTTAAATCTGAGCATGAGATGTCATTATATATTAAGTACATATGTTCTCAGAATCAAAATCCCATGTTAAAAAGTGAGATTCTATACAGTGTACTAATTTTGTTAAGCACACATTCTTCCTTCTTTTTAGATTCCACAACTTAACTGTCATAAAACCATACAAAGGCATAGAATGGTTTCTTAGATTTTTTTTTTTTTTTTGGTGTCCTGAGCTTATTGATCCCTTTCAGAACAATGTTTTCAAATGCATTCTCACAATAATAATAATAGTTACACAGGAAACTGATTAGTTTAAAACATATTTTCCATGTATTAAAACATCCCTTGTGCCTCAGAGCACATGTTCTTAGTAAAGATAAACTGAGTACAAGAAATGAGCAGCTGCACCATACACACAGTGGATAGAAAATAAATTTGGAGGACATTTTGCAAATAAGTTTAAAATGTATAGGATTCAAATTATGTTAAGCATGGTAAGTGAAACTCTTATTTACTCTGAGGTTTTGTCTCTTTGCTCATTTTAGAAATATATTCTAGTAATAAATGTATGGTTAATTCTTTCTGATGTTCACATTGCTCGTTGTTCACTATTTTTAGGGTGAAAAAGAACTATAATTTGTTTTTAAGCTTTAATGAATTCCTTTGGTTGAACTTAATGGTTTTCTGCTGTTGCTGCTTCTAATGCAGCTCCTTCATCTAGGTGTTGGACCGTAAATGTAAGCACTGGATGGTGAAGCAAATAAAGACAATCTCAGTAACCAACCCACCATCTTCAGACTAAGGAAGTACCTCTGAGGGATCTCAATCCTGTCCCCACTTCAGTAGCAGCATCTTGGACAGTGTGTAGACTTTAGGGAAGGCCCTTGTGGAAGCCGCGTGAGTCACGGGAAAGAGACAGCAGTTTTATTGAAGGATCTCTATCCTAAGAAAAAAGAACCTCCAAATCCTTCAATAAATTCTCGACATTGTGCAAAGTACAATCTGTCCCTGTTTCTTTCAGGATTGGGGAATTCAACCTTTACTCTCCCAGCACCTTAAACGAAACCCTTCTCCATTCCTTCATGGTTCTTCGCCCCAACAAACTTCCTTTCTGCTCCTGCTCTTTCGAGAGAACTAAGATTGCTGAAACTGCACAGCTGTAAGATACCAGTCACTGAATAAAATGCTTATGTGCATTTCCTTTTTCTTTAACCCAGCCCAAACAAATGTTTTTATTAAAATTATTTAGCAAATAATATTAATAAATAGAAGAATGGTATTTCTTAACATTTTTCACTTGTTAGATGCTGAGAAGTGTGTTTTATGTACAAGATTTCTTATTATATTTTATGATGAAGCTATTGTCTAGATATCACTGTTCCCAGTTTACAAGCAGAACCCAGGCAAATAGTCATTAGGGGTATTTGCTCTGTGAATATCAACGATGTGCTGTTTTCAGCTAAAAAGTCAAAGAAGACAGTAAGTTAAGAAGGAACATGAAGAGGAACTCTGGATCAGTTTCAAGGGGTTTGTGTGTGTGTGTGTGTGTGTGTGTGTGTGTGTGTGTGTGTGTGTGTAGATATGGTCACAACAATAATTTAAATTTAAATTTATTTTTTTATTTATTACAATTTATTCACATTGTATCCCAGCTGTAAACCCCTCCTTCCTTCCCTCCCAATGCCCTGTCCCAAGTCCACTGATAGGGGAGGCCCTCCACCCCCTCCATCTCACCCTAGCCTATCAGGACTGGCTGCATTGTATTTTTCTGTAAAATTAAAAAAATAAAAATAAAAAAAAAACACTGGCTGTTCTACTATTAAAACTTTTTCACTAAAACATTGCGTGACTGCATGTCCTGGAATTATGTTCACTATAACACTATATTTCTTTCTTAAAATGATTTTATTATTGTTATTTATTACAATTTATTTGATTTGTATCCAGGCTATGGCTTCCTCCCTCATCTCCTCCCAATGTCACCCTTTCCACTTATGTCACTCCCCTAGTCCACTGATAGAGGAGGTCCTCCTCCCCTTCTGCTTGACCCTAGCCTATCAGGTCTCATTAGGACTGGTTCCCTTGGTGGGGAAGGAGTGCAGCCTTGCCAGACCACAGAGGAAGACAATGCAACACTATATTTCTTAATTCCACTGAAAGCTGAAATTTTGGAAGACAGTGATGTGGAACCATTTTATGTCTAATTAAGTAGATTTCAATTGTCTCTGATGAAGAACCTAAATGATATACAGTGTTTTAATTACATCAAGCTTTGAGATGTGTGCGAGCACATGGTTTCCACCTATACCAGAATATTGACAAAAATAAGATGGAAACACACTATGGATTTTCACTGTGTCATCAACTCCGTCATTACTGGGAATATCAGATCTCAATCTGAACTGAAAGGAACCAGTGAATTAGTGAGATGGGCCCTGGAGAAGAAAACTCGTGTGCATTTATAAAAGAAACCTCCTTCATGTTGAGTGATCATAAAATTTAAAGTTGACCAAAGCTGGGATGTAACTAAGATGAAAATGCCTTGATCCAGTAAATGGGGATTCACATCCATCTACTTTGTCCACCACCTTGGACCATATCAAGACCCTGTGGAGGAAGAAGCTCCCAGGCTGTCTGCAAAGAAGCAATCAGCTAGTGGATCACAGTGACTCAGATGGAGACTTGCAACCTAAGCAAAGGAACAGGAGATTCAGTAGGAGAGTGCTTGAAACTGAGAGGAATCTCAAAGCATTTCAACTATTGTTCTCCATGATATTTTATTTATCTTCTTTATTTTACTTTATTTTATTGAGATTTCACTTTACTTTAGTCTGAATGCCTTATCTAAAAAACAACAACAAAAAGAAAGAAAAAGAAAAAACTGAAAACAAATTTTGAATTGTGTGAAAAGGTAAACTCTCATTCACAATTGGTAGGAATGCAAACTGGTATAGCCACTATAGAAATCATGGCAGAAAGATTTTTTAAAAGCTAAAAGAAGATATAGCATGTAAAATATATATATATATATACATACCTGTACATGTAAATATATACGTATATTTTATCTAGTAAGCTAGTGTCCCACAGAGGGCCTCTGAAAGACTTTACCCAGCAGGGCATTAAAGCAGATGCTGAGAATCATCACCAAACTTTGGGCAGAGTGCAGGGAATCTTATGAAAGAAGGAGAGTATAGAAAGACCTGGAAGGGTCTGGAACCAGACCTTATCTGGGCCTACGTTTCTTTTCTGAGACTGGTACTCCAACCAAAGATCATTCATGGAGATAACCTAGAACCCCTGCACAGATGTAGCCCATGGCAGCTCAGTCTCTGAATGGGCTTTCTAGTAAGGGGAACAGGGGCTGTCTCTGACATGAACTCAGTGGCTGGCTCTTTAGTCACCTCCTCCCTGAAGGGGGAGCAGCCTTACCAGGCCACAAGGAAGACTATGAAATACAGTCCCAATGAGACCTGATAGGCTAGGGTCAAATGGAAGGGGAGGAGGACCTCTACTATCAGTGGACTGAAGAAGGGGCATGGGAAGAGATGAGGGAAAGAGGGAGGGCGAGATTGGGAGGGGATGAGGATGGGGCTATGGCTGGGATACAAAGTGAATAAACTGTAAAAAATAAAAATTATATTAAAAATAAATAGATATGGGGTGTTCTTAAACAGAGCATCATAGTCACTAAGAGATTGATTTTGTGATTATATTTTTACATGCTTAAAGCCCAAATTAGCCCTTTAATAGGTGGTGTCATAGCACAGATTACGTAACCTCTCTGAAATCTTATTTTCCTATCAATAAAGTACAGATTGTAATAAAATCTAATTAAATTAGTTAGTGAAATTTAACGTAAGATTTTTGTGTAGAGTATCAGTTATATTTACCTCGGTGCCTGACACTTATCAAGGGATTCAGTATCTCTTTTATTCTGCAGTCCTCTTTATCCTGTGTTTCTAAGTCTCACATCAAATGCTTATGCATTGAAAGACACCTTAAGGGATCCCTGTGGCTCTGCTTTGACCCATGGTCCTCGCCCATCATTTTCGAGGTGGACAGCTGAAGATACAGTGGGAGCAAATGGTGACTATGGAATTGCCCAATTCGGCACAACCCTGTTATCATCTCTGGAGAGAGCCTAGCCCCGGCATAGCTGATGATAACCAGATACGATGTAAAAGACATTTCCTTCTCCTTTGTGGTTTCAAGCCTGCTTTTGAAGCCATAGCTCTCTGGTGCAATTAGCACCTGCGCAGAGGAAATGGCTACTGCCCTTGAAGGATCTGCTCAGCTGAGGCTAGCACTGCTGCTCATCTGTAAGTACAGGTTCACGTTATTCTCCACTCCAAGGGACCAAAATGCATCAAGAGAACATCAGGGTGGGGATATTGAGGGTTTCGGTGTGACTTTGTAGCACATAGGCAAACCGTGGGGTGTTTTTCGGGCACTGTGTAGTAGAAAGAAGCAGAGGAAATCGGGCTGAGCAGCGTCTCAGTGGAAAACCAGGCTAACAGCTTGACTCTTTTAGTCCTCTGGCATCTACTAATGTACAACACAGATACCAACAGAGGAGGATAGAAGAAAAAGCTCAGATCCTCCTCCCTATTGATCATTAAAAATTTATGATTGTGGGTCCCTTTCCCACACTGATCCCAGTCCGTGTCTGGGAAAACTGGGGACAGATGCTAATTTTTACCCTTTATTAATTTTGCAGCTCTGGGTGTCAGGCTAACAGGTGAGTCCTTTGTTCTTGTATCTGGATTTTGCTAATCTCTTGTTGTCTGTTTGTGTCCCATCATGCTTTCTCATACTTTTGAATCTTCTTCTTCCTGGAAAGTCTGCTTCCCAAATCTACTTCAGAACCTTTCTTTTTATTTCTGGCCCCCAAATTTCTCTTATACCATTTCCCCCTTCTCAAGTAGTCTCCTCTTCTGCTTAAGCCAACAGCAATGTCTGCAGTGATGTTTCTTTGCGTATCTTCTAGACTTTTCACACACATTCACCCAATTTTCATATTACTATAGTTATTGCTATTTTATAATTAAAAATCCTGTGGCTACATCACTTATTGAAGGTTTCACAACTGATGAAAACTGGATTCTATCTTAAGTCCCTTGGGTATAAATATAATGTTTCTTGATTATATCATCCTTTGTCATCACCACAAACTGCTTCTTATGTTCTGTTTAGTTTTTCACCACATCTCCTTGCTCCTGGAAGCCATTCAAAGTTGATGCCCTCTTGGTGCTTTGCATGATCTTTTAAAATTGCAAATATTTCTCGCTGTATGTCTTCACAATTAAATAGTTATAGAAATCTAGAGCTCATATTTTATCAAGTATAGTCTGAAATGATTGACAGTTGCTCCTGATATGTTTTAGTGATACCGTCTTTAATATTTATCCATTATTTCTACATTCAACCATTCAATAATTCTTTAGCAAATACTAACTATATGCCAGTGATTATACTGAGCAATGATCTGGTGTGACAAATATTACTTCTTCCTTAAAAATGTTTCAAATTACAATAATTGATCCTGAAATTGAAGTTACAAGAATAAGAGTAGGTTATCACATCATAAAATAAATTACGTCCATTGTTTACAAATATCTTGTGTTTGTGCCCTATCTTTAGGCCTAGATTGGTTGCTCCCTGAGACCACATCACTGTTTTCTTCCTAGACATCAGGACAGTCTTGTTACTAACATGATGCACCATTGATTGACTATTGATGTGTTTGTAGTTGTGAGATTGGATAATTTTCAATGACTTAAAACTTATCTTCACAATTTTACTTTCTATAAGCCACTCAGAAATCTGTGGTGTCCTTGAACCCACCATGGATTACAATATTTACTGGAGAAAACGTGACTTTTTCTTGCCAAGGAAACAATTCCTCTCAAACGAAGTCTACTAAATGGATCCACAATGGCATTATATCTAAGGTGACGTCTCCCCGTTTGGTCATTGCGGGTGCCACCTTTCAAGACAGTGGAAAATACATATGTCAGATCCAAGGACTTTACAAGAGTAAACCTGTGTACTTGAGAGTGATGCAAGGTATGTAATCCATATCGCTCACATAAAGAGTGACCCATTAGAGCAGCTCTTCGCAACCTTCCTAACGCTGTGATCCTTTGATCAAGTTCCTCATGTTGTGCTGACCCCGTCCATACAATTATTTTTCTGTTGCGAATTCCTAACTGTAAGTTTGCTATTGTTACGATTCATGAATATTTGTATTTTCTTACGGTCTTCGGCCACCCAAGTAAAGGTTGTTCGACCCCGCAAAGAGGTTGTGACCACAGGTTGAGAACCAAAGTCGTAGGTGACAGCAGTAGCATATCTGCTCAAGACAATTCAGCGCCCTTTTGCATTGCTCCTTACGTCTGCTTTCAGCCGTCTAAGCCGCTATTAGTTATTCCTCTGCTCAATTCTCACATCTGTTTTACCGAGGTATAGATTTGTATTCTGTGATCAAATGGCATGACAGGTATGTGAGCACTGCAAAAATCTGAACGTGGATTCTTGGATCACAACGTTCGGGCAAAGATTTGCTCTGCACAATCTGTGTGCCATTAAAACTACCTCAGCACATGCCTTGTGTCCTTCACTGTTACTAAAACAATTCTCCTGTTTATTTATTTATTTTTTTATTTTAATACTTAAACAACTTATCTAGGTATCAGCAAATGCTGAATGAACAAACTATTTTTCGAAAGGAAAAGTTACAGGTGGCTATTTTTCTTGAGTGAAAGGATACATTTTAACATTTATAAAATTCCAAATACAAAATAAACCATGTACAATAGTCATTTATTTTCTGGTAGTAGACTTTAGAGAAGCCTCAAAGGGATTATCTTAAATGCAGTATTCTATCACAAGTTAGACATATTCTCATTCAAAACTCTCCATTCATGAATGTTTTACAATTCATTAAAATAACATTAACTGTAGAATATGATTCTTATAACTTGCTGAATCCTTGTTGACAAATAATCATTGAGTATCTAAAAACTCTTAAAATCTGTGTTAGATACTATTGAAAAAAAAAAAGCCAAGAATCAGACACAGCCGTGTATCTTTGTGGATCTATATAGAGAAGAGGACAATGAATTACAAATTAAACTAATAGTTAAATTGATGTACATATTTTAAAGAGGTACTTTGGCCGTTTCCTTTCTTTCTTTCTTTCTTTCTTTCTTTCTTTCTTTCTTTCTTTTCTTTCTTTCTTTCTTTCTCTCTCTCTCTCTCTCTCTCTCTCTAAAATTCCAAATACAAATTATACAACTATTCTTAAAAACAGAGCTCAGAAGCCTCTGTGAAGAAAGAAAGAAAAAAATTTTCCTAAGTTCAAACATTTATGTATGAATATGTCTGTCTCCTCCCTTTTTAACTAGCTCCAGCTAGAAGAGATTTGAAGGGAATTCTGACCTTTCGGCTTTCCACAAGTGGGGTCAGCTGTAGAGCACAAGACATTTTATGACTCCAGACTGACTTGCTAGGGAGAGAAAGGATTCACTGGTGTAGATTTCAGACTATACATATTATTTTGTCTTTGTTCTTTAACTGATCTCACGAACCAAGAAACGGGCTAATGGCCATTTGTGGATAACCCCATGTATCTGTCTGTGGATATATCTGTCTGCTCCTCTCTCTTTCCCTCTCTCTCTGTCCCCCTACATCAAGGCTCTTATCTATTGTTATATATATTTTAAAAACTAACAAAAATATAATGAATACTCTCCAGAGTGGCTGCTCCTTCAGACTTCTGCTGATGTGGTCTTAGAAAATAAGTCTTTTGACATCAGATGCCATGGCTGGAAGAACTGGAATGTCCGCATGGTGAGCTTCTACAGGAATGACTTTGCTTTCAAGTACGTTTATGAGAGCCCCAAAATCTCCATTAGAGATGCCACACTTAATGACAGTGGCACATACTACTGCACAGGTCGACTTAGGCGGCTGAAGTACACGTCTGAGAAACTCAGAATTACTGTAATAAAAGGTAAGCCAAGAAATAAAAAAAAATAATCTATAACAGTGGAAGAGAAAATGGGAATATGAGTCAGGGTTTAAAGTTAGTACAACAGGGGCATTTGTGACGGTCTGGAAAGGCTAACAGATCTGTAACGAGGAGATCCAGGACATGTCTCCACAGTAGAGTTCTTATTTGCTATGGGTTAATGGTAATACCTATGCACAAAATGGGAATTTATAAACATTAATGGGATATTTTTTGTCAAATGGCTTTATAAACTGTAAAAGCCTATCCAGGAATAAGATACATTTTGAAAAAAATATCTATTGCTCTTAAGAAGAATGTTTGCATTTATTAAATTGAAAGGGGTTTGGCAAGCTGAAGAAAGCAAGGATACAAAGAGGTTGAAGAGTCCATATTAGTTGAGGGTGGTGGGGAAAAAATTCAACCCATCAGCAAGCTGTGTGCACAGGCCTGGAAAGATGAGAGTGTGCCCGCTCAAGACAGGCAGGTGGGCTGCCCCAATGGCTCATAAGCAAAGCTGCTCCTACCGAATGTCTTGTAAGAGGGGAACTTTGAAATGTTTGCCTCTGATGGAGGAAATTTTGTTTGATTTTGGCATGCTTATAATTATCTATATATTAAAAAATGCAAGACAGCCAAACTCAAAATTGTGCCCTGATGTTTAATTATCCCTAATTCCATGCTCTGGCCCTTCCACATCCAAATCATCAACTAATGGAATCTTGTTTGCTACGACTTCCACTGGTTAGAAGAATCACTAGACATGGGTTAATGGGAATCACTTATCCCTCCAAAGTGCTCTAGAGAACACAGACTGTAGAACTCAGCATATTGGGTGTTCTTCCTGTTCTTGGATACCTCATCATGCTAATGATGGATAATCATGCATCCCTCTTAAGGAAGATGCATCTCTGAGCCTCATTTTTAATTTTCTAATCTGAATTATATATTTGTTGTATCTACATTCCATTCTAGCTTACAAAAGCAAGTATCGTTGGCTACAATTAATTTTCCCATTGTTGGTGGTGATTCTGTTTGCTGTGGACACAGGGTTATTGTTCTCAACCCAGGAACAGTTTGCATCAATCTTGAAGATTGAGAAGACTAGAAAAGGCAACAAAGTTGGATCCTAACTCTTAACCTAGGTGCATAAAGGAACTGAGGTCATTGCTGAAGACAAAATTCTTAACTGTAATTTTTCACAGTGTTCTCAATAGCTTCTCAAATGGCAAAGGTCACTCACATTATCCATAGAAAAGTCTGTGCCCTAGGATTTGCATAAATGCTTTGTTAAAAACAACTGCGGCTGATTAAGTGACATGTAATGGCAAATGCTCAATAAACGCAGGCTTAATGTGTAAAAGAATGGGTTAATTTATTCATTTATATTTGTAAAAGGGAAGCACAATTTGAATAAAGTAAGTGTGGGGTCATGGGACATGGTACTTTTATTAATTTGATTGTTTTCTTCTAGAAGAAAGACCATGAGGTATAAATACGATTCGTCTGATTTTCTATCATTATAAGAAGACTAACCCACACATGTTAGACATCGACATCAAACTTGATTCTTTTACTTTCTAGGTTTGTGATTTGAGAAAAGCTGTTTATATATTTATGAGTCAAGTGTTTCGTTTTCTAAAATAGGAGTGAGGATAGGCATTGTGTCTAGCTCAGCTCTTGCTCCATGCTCATGCAGACAATGAGTTGGGACTTAAGAAAAACTTCTTGGGTCAGGAGAACACTGTCAGTGGTGAACAAGGGCTTATGGCAACCAACATGTGAGAACAGAGGGACTCAAGTTTGCCCAGACTCTGCACCTACTGACATTGTGGGTAACCTTCAAACACTGTCTAGATCTAGATTTTTTTTTTTCAGTTTAGTCCTTGTATGAGATTCTTTTTTTTAAAATTTTTTTATTAATTACACTTTATTCATTTTGTATCCCCCCATAAGCCCCTCCCTCCTCCCCTCCCGATCCCACCCTCTCTCCCCTTTCTGCATGCATGCCACTCCCCAAGTCCACTGATAGGGGAGGTTCTCCTCTTCTTTCTGATCTTAGTCTATCAGTTCTCATCAAAAGTGGCTGCATTGTCCTCTACTGTGGCCTGATAAGGCTGCTCCCCCCTCAGGGGGAAGTGATTAACGAGCAGGCCAATCAGATTATGTCAGAGGCAGTCCCTCTTCCCATTACTATGTAACCCACTTGGACACTGAACTGCCATGGGCTACACCTGTGCAGGGGTTCTAGGTTATCTCCATGAATAATCCTTGGTTGGAGTATGAGTCTCTGGGAAGTTCCCTGTGTTCAAATTATCTTGTTCTGTTGCTCTCCTTGTGGAGTTCCCATCCCCTCCAGCTCTTACTATTTCCCACTTCTTACAGATCTAGATTTTTATTTGCTAAGAAATGTTAGTGTGGTATACATGGTAATTACTTCAGCTCTTTATTTTAAAAGATGGTTACATGGTTATATGATGGGAACCTCTTTCCCTTCCTCCTCTCCATTATTTTCCTCATTTTAGAGAGTAAGAAATGACTACCTTCCTGCCACACGGGTTCATGTAAACAGGTGTGGTGAATGTAGAGGAGATTTCTCCTGGAACACAGGCAGGGGAAAGTCCCCACAGGAAATCCTTGGGTGGTTTTATGAGAAACTTTCTCTGCTTCCTGCCCAAGATTTTTTCCGGGATAAAGCCTTCAGACCATAGGATTGTCACCACACACAACTGAGACACATTGTTCTGCAGAGCCCTACAGTGTCAGTGTCTCTGGCACTGAGCTGGACAGGAAGTTCCTCCTTTGTCTCAGGCTTGGTTGTGATGCCAAATCATCAGAGTTAGGAACTGAGAGGTGCTTGATGGGTGGAAATTCCAGGCTTGTTCAGCTTGAGAAACATCTGAAGGAATTTCGAGAATCCTGAAGATGGCATTTTAATTTTGCCTCCCTCTATCCCCAGTCAAGCTTGGGAGGGCCATGGACAGAGCAAAGAGATGAAAATCCCAGCTGCTTCTCACTGGGTGCTGAACATGGCCAGGCCCCTTGCAAGTCTTTGAGATTCTGTTTGTTTCTGTATAAGAGGGGTTTGGACAAGGTGATTTCTCCAGTCTCCTGGACCTCAGACATTGCCACTCCGTTTTCATGGAGCGATTATCTAGGTGCAGACATTCAGAAGTCTTTGCCCACCCAGTGTCTGTGTGGATTTCTTTTCATTCTCCATCACTGGGAACTCAAATATGTCACTGCCTCCGTGTGCTGATTGTCATAAATTCCTAGTTAACTCCAGAACTGTGTCTGCCATTTCTGTTTTATTTATTTAACTTTCATGGTCATTCACATTCTATTCCAGAAGTAACTTAGAAAATGAGACCAATATTTATATAGTTAGTGGCACCCAAATTATACTCTTTTTTAATAAGATATATATATTTCAATTGAAATATAAAACATTGCACTACGTCAAAAAGTGAATAGGTTACACCGGTTAGTTAAGAAATTCCTTTCTTGATTTACCTGTGCTCTCCTTGTCACCATTGATCTGTACTAAACTGGTCCAGGACAGAGCATAAAGCAACATTTGCCCCCTCAAAATAGATAATCACAAATCCTTATGAGTTCCTGATACTTACAGGATGGGAAAAGAGATGGGCTTATGAGCCATGGAAGATAAATTCCAACTATTCCTCTATATAAAGATTCAGACAAAAAATGTATCAGGGGAGACTGTTTGGGGACTAAGACCTTGAATGAGAAGTGCAAAGGAGCAACTGTCACCTGGAGATGCACTTTCCTGCTGTGAAGGGAAGAGGCACCTGAGAAAGCACAGACCTACGGATGACCTCAAAGTCTCTCTTCCTGCCTTAGGTCACCTGCCCAGGTGTGGACAGTTACTCACCAAGTTCATGCTCCCATATTGTGCTTCATCCATTGCCACAGCATTCTTACCGAAAGCTCCACTCTGCTAATGCTCTCAAAATATCTATCGAGTTCTTGCATATACCACTTGTAACACCCATGTATTATTTTTAATTTTCAAAACTGAAAAAGTATAGTTGTACTGTCAGCTTTGTTGATGCGCAATACAGCACGGAGAGTGGGCAAAAGTCTCTCTGCAATGTTGTGGAGTCAGAGTTCTAAGAATCTGAAATTACAGAAAATTCAGACAGAAAAACTCAGATATTTATTTCTTAGCCAATTTTCAAGAAGATCATACAAAAACTATTGTCAGGTAAATTGTGTCATGGTACATATGACTCAGTACTTGTAACAAAAATATGTTATAAAACTAAAAGAAAATATCTCATCTACCTATACCAGAATAAGTTAAAACTAAGAATTGTGTTTTCCACAAACGCCAACTCTTCTAGAAGTGGAATTCTAAAATGCTGCTGCAGAATGGTGACCCCAGGTAACACTCTAAGACAGATACTTGAATGCAACATCCACACTTTTGCTGGAGTGAAAGAAGCAGGGTTGAAAGAGAAAAGCTGAGATGTGAAATAGTCACAGCAGAAACCCTAAGTTATCTCACAGATGACAGCTCTGGTCCTGGGATAGCTCTTCAGAATCATCGTAGAGAGGAGACACCACGGAATAGACAAATCATTGGAAGTAGCATGACCCCAGAATGTGGTAAAATCATAAAGATGCAGCTCCTTAGCAAAGACACTTTTTGAAGGGGACTCCCTGAGAGCCTCGCTCCAGGGTTCTCAGTTACCTGGGGAGGTCAGGCGTGGGTCTTGAGGGTACCATCTGGGGGTGTACACCAGCCTCTGGCAAATTCATCTTCAGACATGTGATGTCTTTTCTACTGACCATCATACCTTTATTTCATACCTTTACTTAGATAAAAGTTAACAGAATTGTCAAGTTAATTTTTTTCTTTCCATTTTTTATTTTAAGTTCTATTAATTACATTTTATTCACTTTGTATCCCCCCATGGTCCCCTCCTTCCTCCCCTCCCAATCCCACCTTCTCCACACATGCCCCTCTCCAAGTCCACTGATAGAGGAGGTCTTCCTCTCCTTTCTTCTGATCCTAGTCTATCAGGTCTCATCAGGAGTGGCTGCATTGTCATCTTCTGTGGCCTGGTAAGGTTGCCAACTCCACAGAAAGTTACTGGCTCTACCATTTCTGGAAATCTCAATACTTAGTAAAGGCATAGTCCTCCACAGTCCTTCCCTCTGCAGATTTCACGTTCTAGAGGATATTTTTTCAAATTGACACATGCTACACATGTTAACTTAAATCATAATTGTTCATTTCATGGTTGTGCTCCACTTCCTTCAACCAGCTGATCTGATGTTCCTCTCCCCGTGATACGTATGGTCCTTCTTCCAGCTCCATCCTCTTTACTGCAGCCTGGCAAGGATGAACAAAGCTAACCTTGTGCATATGGTCCTCTTCTCAGTCTGAGTTGTCTCAAGTGTGCATAACAGGATATGGATAGACACATCTATGTTCTCTGTAGCTGGTGCTGTTTTATTTTCTTAACTTGAATTGATACAGCCTTGTGTCTATACCAATGAGGATCTATTCTTAGAGATATATTTGCAAGCAATTTTATCACTTTATTTATAGAGTGTAGCTACAGACCACATATAGCACCAGCTCATTGTATACAACCTGCTGTACAGTTTCTGCCATTATATATGAAGTCTATCATTGGTTTAAAGGTGACTCTGTGACACATGCCTGCAACTCACAAAATCCTCACGAGGGGTGCACCCATGTGCACATGTGAACAGGTCTACACACAATGAAGCTTGTCTGTAATATTGAGCAAGTGTTGGGCAGGGAAGTGAAAAAATATTAGTCAACCTTGATCCTTCCAGTTGGGCAAAAGGTTTCAATTAAAAGACTACCAATCCTCTGGCCATAAGTAACCTAGGTTCTTTCTACTTAAACTCAGTAGAAAATGTACACAATATATAAAGTATATAAAATCATTATCTCATTCCTCTAGAGCATAGCACAAAGAATTCTGATGGCATAGAAGGAAGCATCTAGGTTATTAATCATTAATGTATCTGGTCTTTCTGATACCATAAACAAAGGCATTGTTAGAAACTAAGTGCATATTCACAAACTGAAGGAAATGAAATTTGAAAATGAGCCTGATTAAGAGGAAGGCTGTTTCTGCCA